GCAACCAAGAGAATGGGAAAAAATTTTTGCAATCTACCCATCTGACAAAGGGCTGATATCCAGAATTTACAAAGAACTAAAACAGATTTACAAGAAGAAAACAAACAAGCCCATTCAAAAGTGGGCAAAGATATGAACAGACACTTTACAAAAGAAGACATACATGAGGCCAACAAAAGTATGAAAAATTGCTCATCATCACTGGTCATTAGAGAAATGCAAATCAAAACTACATTGAGATGCCATCTCATACCAGTTAGAATGACGATCATTAAAAAATCTGGAGACAACAGATGCTGGAGAGGATGTGGCGAAATAGGAACACTTTTGCACTGTTGGTGGGAGTGTAAATTAGTTCAACCATTGTGGAATACAGTGTGGCGATTCCTCAAGGACCTAGGCATAGAAATTCCATTTGACCCAGCAACCCCATTTCTGGGTATATATCCAAATAATTGTAAGTCATTCTACTATAAGAACACATGCACACGAATGTTCATTGCAGCACTGTTTACAATAGCAAAGACCTGGAACCAACCCAAATGCCCATCGATGATAGATGGGACAGGGAAAATGTGGCACATATACACCATGGAATACTATGCAGCCATCAACAACGATGAGTTCATGTCCTTTGTAGGGACATGGATGAATCTGGAAACCATCATTCTCAGCAAACTGACACAAGAACAGAAAATCAAACACCACATGTTCTCACTCACAGGTGGGTGTTGAACAATGAGAACACATGGACACAGGGAGCGCAGCATCACACACTGGGGTCTGCTGAGGGGAAATAGGGGAGGGACAGTGGGGGGTGGGGAGTTGGGAGAGATAGCATGGGGAGAAATGCCAGATATAGGTGAAAGGGAGGAAGGCATCAAATCACACTGCCATGTGTGTACCTATGCAACTATCTTGCATGTTCTTCACATGTACCCCAAAACCTAAAATGCAATAAAAAAATAAAAATAAACCACACAGAAAACATTCTTTTAAAAAATCTTTTGAAATAGTACTTATCTATATATTTATTCCAGCTTTGATACATAGCTAACTTCAATTTTTAGTGTCTATTATCATACTTCTGAAATTGATTTTGTTCTTGTTTTATATATATAAAACATTTACATAGATCTGAAGTTGTAATTATAAAACAAGATGCATTTAGAGATTTTTAGCTTCCATCCTGGATTTCTCTTCCCTCTTCTCTTCCTCACCCTATACATGTAACAATATTTTTATTATTCCTGTTGAATTTTTTTCAGTTTTTCTTATTTATTCAGAAGCCTTTAATTTTAAAAATATAAATATTTTGTTCACCATACGTGTAGTATATATTATTTCTATTTGAAATTCATGTTTATATTTTTGTTCTGAGGTATTCAGTTTTTATACATTTTAATCAAACTTATTTTCTGGCTTCTGGGTTTCATGATTTACTTTAAAAGATGCCTACATTTCAAGATTATACTAAAACAAATCCATATTATTTCTTTTAACACTTTTATTTAATATCTAATATTTGTGTCATTAATCTATCTGGAATTATGCAATAATTACTGTATTATTCATAATAATAAATAATAATAAACATTGTGGAAAGCCACTTATTCCCTGGAAGTTAATATACTAAGTACTTTACATGAATATCTCATTTAATCTTCCAAGAATCCCCTTGAAAAGGGTTCAAAGTGCCATGAATTTAAGAAACTAAGGAATTTCTTAAAATTAAGAAATTAAGAAACCTTAACTTCATGGTTAAGAAATTAAGGAGTTAACTAACTTTCTCCATGTCACAGCATTTAAAGTGGTAGAGATTTCAACTCTTAACGCTTGGGTTCAAAATATAAGGAGGCTTTGTAAGTTAAATTTGCATTTTCTTATTTCTAATGAGGGGTGCACTATTTCACAGGTTTATTGGTCACTTATATAGTGTCTTCTATGAGTTGCTTTTTCATACTCCTTGCCCTTTCTTCTAATGAAGGATTAATTTGTCACATTGGTTTGAAAGAAGGCTTATTAACCATTTTAGAGACATTAACCTTTCATCAAACATGTTGAAAAGATTTCCCAGTATTTGCTGTTATTTATTTTCAGCCCCTTTTAGTTAATACAAGTTTAAATATATCTTTTAGCTAAACGTGCCAATTTTTCCTTATGGTCACTACTTTGGATATCAGGCTTAGAGAAGCCAATCTTGCTTCTCTAAATTGCGATTTATATGCAATTCATTAACATTAAGCGTTAATGTTTTTTTTTTTTTTTTTTTTCAGTTTTATTACACCTAAACCTCTATGTGTAAGTGGTAAGAAAGCAATTCAACAGTATGTGTTTCCCCATGTCCTGCACATGTGGTCCTGAGGAAAAGAGCGATCACCTGGAGGCACCATCTTTCCTTTTCCCCAGCTGTGAAGACAGCAGAAAATGAGATACCAGGGGAAGCCAAAACAAAGACCAAGAGGACGCTGTTCTAAACCTTATCATGAGTATTTTAAAGATATATGCAAACATTTATTAAAACACTAGGTGAGATAGGACCCAAGATGGCCGACTAGGAACAGCTCAGGATTGCAGCTCCCAGTGAAAGCGCAGAGGGTGAGTGGATGCCGCATTTCAAGACAGATTTTTATTGCCCACAGACCAGGAGATTTCCAGCCGGAGACCCATGGGTCGCTGGCGCAGCTGTTTTGGCCAGCGTGTCTGTTTTGGCCAGCGCAGCTGTTCTCCGTACAAAACACACTGTCCAGGTGCCCTTTTAGCTGGCAATTGGAGACCAGGGAAGGCAGATCGCCCATTCATCTGATTTATAAAGGAACTGAAATGGGGAGCCAGGCCAGGAGATTCCGGAGCAAAAAAACTGCCACGAATCTCAGCGCCGCTGTTTCAGCTGGTGCAGTGAGTCATCACAAGGGAAATTACACAGATCCCGGCACCTAAAACAGGCGACTGGAACACCTGGGAGAGAGTCGACCATTCAATTAAAAAAAAAAAAAAAAAAAAAAACAGAACTCTGATTCAGGGAGTCAGGTGATCAGACTCAGCTGGAGCCACCTGCACAAAAACAAACAAACAAAAAACAAAAACAAAAAAAACAGCAATTGAAAATGCTCTGGGTTGAGAGTTTCACAGCAAGCACAGCTGAACCCAGGATGGTCCAGCTCTGTGGGGGAGGGGCATCCGCCATTACAGAGACACTCCACCACTATGGAGGTAGTCCACCATCGCTGAGGCAGCCTGCCATTGCCAAGGCAACCCACCGTTGCCGAGGCAACCTGCCATTACAGAGAGAGTCCATCATTACAGAGGTGGGCCACCATTGCCCAGGCAGTTCTAACTACACCCATACAAACAGGACTGCAGGGAAGATCACACGGTAGCTCAGCAAAGTCTCGGCAGGCAGACAGTGACTAGACTGCCTCCTCGCTGGGCAGGGCAGCCCTGAAAAAAAAAAAAGAAAGAAAGAAAAGGCAGCAGCACAAGGGAAACTCATAAATAAAGCCCTAACTCCCTGGGACACAGCACCTGGGAAAAAAAGGAGTTTATGTGTTCTGCTGCAGCAGACCTAAACGTACCTGCCCAGCAACTCTGAATGAACAACAGTGTTCACAGCTCAGCACTTGAGCTCCAATAAAGGACAGACTGTCTCCTCAAGCACCTTCCTGACCCCCGTAGGTCCAAAGAGTCACCTCATAAAGGAGAGAACACACTGACATTTGGTGGGTATACTTCTGGAACAAAGATATCAGAAGAAACTGGTAGCAACCCGTACTGTTCTACAACTGCTGCAGGTGATCCCCAGGCAAGCAGGGCCTGGAGTGGACCTCAGCAGTCCTACAGCAGAGGGGCCAAACTGTTAGAAGGAAAACTAAGAAACAGAAATAACTTCATCATCCACAAACTGGAAGTTCACCCAGAGACCCAATGTGAAAGTCAGCAACTACAAAGACAGCAGGTGGATAAATCCACAAAGATGGGAAGAAACCAGCGCAAAAAGGATGAAAACACCCAAAACCAGAACACCTCTCCTCCCACAAGGGATCACAACTCCTCACCAGCAAGGGAACAAGGTTGGATGGAGAACGAGTGTGATGAAATGACAGAATCAGACTTCAGAAGGTGGGTAATAAGAAACTTCTTTGAGCTAAAAGAACATGTTCTAACCCAACGCAAAGAAACTAAGAACATTGAAAAAAGATTTGACGAAATGCTAATGAGAATGGACAATGTAGAGAGGAATATAAGTGAATTGATGGAGCTGAAAAACACAACACGAGAACTTTGCGAAGCATGCACAAGTTTCCACAGTCAAATTGACCAAGCAGAAGAAAGGATATCAGAGGTCGAAGATCAACTCAATGAAATACAACGAGAAGGCAAGAATAGAGAAAAAAGGGTAAAAAGGAATGAACAAAATCTCCAAGAAATGTGGGACTATGTGAAAAGACCTAATCTACGTTTGATAGGTGTACCTGAATGTGACGAAGAGAATGAATCTAAGCTGGAAAATACTCTTCAGGATAGTATCCAGGAAAACTTCCACAACCTAGCAAGGCAGGCCAATATTCAAGTCCAGGGAATACAGAGAACACCACAAAGATATTCCTCAAGAAGAGCAACCCCAAGGCACATAATCGTCAGATTCACCAGGGTTGAAATGAAGGAGAAAATGCTAAGGGCAGCCAGAGAGAAAGGTCGGGTTACTCACAAACGGAAGCCCATCAGACTCACAGCAGATCTCTCAGCAGAAACCCTACAAGCCAGAAGAGAGTGGGGGCCAATATTCAACATCCTTAAAGAAAAGAATTTTCAACCCAGAATCTCCTATCCAGCCAAACTAAGCTTCATAAGTGAAGGAAAAATAAAATCCTTTGGGAACAAGCAAGTACTCAGAGATTTCATCACCACCAGGCTTGCTTTACAGGAGCTCCTGAAAGAGGCTGTACACATATAAAGGAACAACCAGTACCAGGCACTCCAAAAACATACCAAATGGTAAAGAGCATCAACACAATCAAGAATCTGCATCAACTAATGGGCAAAACAGCCAGCTAGCATCAAAATGGCAGTATCAAATTCACATATAACAATATTAACCCTAAATGTAAATTGACTAAATGCCCCAATCAAAAGACACAGACTGGCAAATTGGATAAAAAGCCAAAACCATCGGTATGCTGTATCCAGGAAACCCATCTCACATGCATGGATACACAAAAGCTCAAAATAAAGGGATGGAGGAAGATTTACCAAGCAAACAGAGAGAAAAAAAAGCAGGAGTTGCAATTCTTGTTTCTGATAAAATAGACTTTAAAGTAGCAAAGATCAAAAGAGACAAAGAAGGACATTACAAAATGGTAAAAGGATCAATGCAACAAGAAGAGCTAATGATCCTAAATATATATGCACCCAATACAGGAGCACCCCGATACATAAGGCAAGTTGTTAATGACTTACAAAGAGACTTAGGCTCCCACACAATAATAGTGGGAGATTTTAGCAACTCATTGTCAATATTAGACAGATCAACAAGACAGAAAATTAACAAGGATATACAGGACTTGAACTCAGACCAGGAACAAGCAAACCTAATAGACATTTGTAAAACTCTCCACCCCAAATCCACAGAATATACATTCTTCTCAGCACCACATCACACCTACTCCAAAACTGACCATGTATTTGGAAGCAAATCACTCCTCAGCAAATGCAAAAGAATGGAAATCATAACAGTCAGTCTCTCAGACCACAGTGCAATTAAGTTAGAACTGAGAATGCAGAAACTAACTCAGAATCACCCAGCTTCATGGAAACTGAACTTGCTCTTGAATGTTGACTAGATAAACAATGAAATGAAGGCAGAAATAAAGATGTTCTTCGAAACCAACGAGAACAAAGACACAGCATACCAGAATCTCTGAGACACATTTAAAGCAGTCACTAGAGGAAAATATATAGCAATAAATGCCCACATGAGAAGCAAGGAGAGATCTAAAATCAACACCCTATCAGCAAAATTGAAAGAGCTAGGGGAGCAAGATAAAAAAAACTCAAACCCTAGCAGAAGACAAGAAATAACTAAGATCAGAGGAGAACTGAAGTAGATAGAGACACAAAAAACCCTTCAGAAAATCAATAAATCCAGGAGCTGGTTTTTCAAAAAGATCAACAAAATAGACCACTAGCCAGATTAATAAAAAAGAAAAAAGAGAATAACCAAATAGATGCAATAAAAAACGATAAAGGGAATATCACCACAGATTCCACAGAAATTCAAACCGTCATCAGAGATTATTACAAACAACTCTATGCAAATAAACTAGTAAACCTGGAAGAAATGGATAAATTCCTGGACACTTGCATCCTCCCAAGCCTAAACCAGGAAGAAGTCAAAACCCTGAATAGACCAATAACAAGGGCTGAAGTTGAGTCAGCAATTAATAGCCTACTACCCAAAAAAAGCCCAGGTCCAGGTGGTTTCACATCTGAATTCTACCAGACATACAAAGAGGAGCTGGTTCCATTCCTTCTGAAACTATTCCAAACAATACAAAAAGAGGAATCCTTCCCAAATCATTTTATGAGGCCAACATCATCCTGATACCAAAACCCGGCAGAGACTCAACAAGAAAAGAAAACTTCAGGCCAATATCCATGATGAACATTGACGCAAAAATCTTCAATAAAATACTGGCAAGCTGATTGCAACAGCACATCAAAAAGCTTATTCACCATGATCAAGTAGGCTTCATCCCAGGTAGGCAAGGCTGGTTCAACATACACAAGTCTATAAACGCAATTCACCACATAAACAGAACCAAAGGCAAAAATCACATGATTCTCTCAATTGATGCAGAGAAGGCCTTCGACAAAATTCAACAGGCTTTTATGCTAAAAACCCTCAAAAAACTAGGTATTGACAGAACCTATTTCAAAATCATAAAAGCTATTTATGACAAACCAACAGCCAATGTCATACTGAATGGGCAAAAAGTGGAAGCATTCCCTTTGAAATCTGGCACTAGACTAGGATGCCCTCTCTCACCACTTCTATTCAATATAGTACTGGAAGTTCTAGCCAGAGCAATCAGGCAAGAAAAAGAAATTAAGGGTATTCAAATAGGAAAGGAGGAAGTCACATTGTCTCTATTTGCAGACGACATGATTGTATATCTAGAAGACCCCATTGCCTCAACCCAAAATCTCCTGAAACTGATAAGCAACTTCAGCAAAGTCTCAGGATACAAAATCAATGTGCAAAAATCACAAGCATTCCTATACACCAATAACAGACTTAAAGAGAGCCAAATCAAGAATGAACTGCCATTCACAGTTGCTACAAAGAGAATAAAATACCTAGGAATACAACTAACAAGGAACATAAAGGACCTCTTCAAGGAGAACTTCAAACCACTGCTCAACGAAATAAGAAAGGACAGAAACAGAGAAACATTCCATGTTCATGCTTAGGAAGAATCAATATCGTGAAAATGGCTATACTGCCCAAAGTAATTTACAGATTCAACACTATCCCCATGAAGCTACTGATGACCTTCTTCAAACAACAGGAAAAAAACACCTTAAACTTCATATGAAACCAAAAGAGAGCCCGCATAGCCAAGTCAATTCTAAGCAAAAAGAACAAAGCGGGAGGCATCACACTACTGGACTTCAAACTATACTACAAGGCTACAGTAATCAAAACAGCATGGTACTGGTACCAAAACAGAGATATAGACCAATGGCACAGAACAGAGGCCTAGGAGGCAACACAACAAATCCACAACCATCCGATCTTTGACAAATCTGACAAAAAAAACGATAGGGAAAGGAGTCCCTGTTTAATAAATGGTGTTGGGAAAACTGGCTAGCCATGTGCAGAAAGCAGAAACTGGATTCCTTGCTACACCTTACACTAAAATTAACTCCAGATGGATTAAAGACTTAAACATAAGACCTAACACCATAAAGACCCTAGGAGAAAACCTAGGCAAAACCATTCAGGACATAGGCGTAGGCAAGGACTTCATGACCAAAACACCAAAAGCATTGGCAACAAAAGCCAAAATAGACAAATGGGACCTAATCAAACTCCACAGCTTCTGCATGGCAAAAGAAACAGTCATTAGAGTGAATCGGCAACCAACAGTATGGGAAAAAATTTTTGCAGTCTACCCATCTGACAAAGGGCTGATATCCAGTATTTACAAAGAACTAAAACAGATTTACAAGAAAAAAACAAGCCCATTCAAAAGTGGGCGAAGGATATGAACAGACACTTTACAAAAGAAGACACACGTGAGGCCAACAAACATATGAAAAAATGCTCATCATCACTGGTCATTAGAGAAATGCAAACCAAAACTACATTGAGATACCATCTCATGCCAGTTAGAATGACGATCATTAAAAAATCTAGAGACAACAGATGCTGGAGAGGATGTGGAGAAATAGGAACACTTTTACACTGTTGGTGGGTGTGAAAATTAGTTCAACCATTGTGGAATACAGTGTGGCGATTCCTCAAGGACCTAGACATAGAAATTCCATTTGACCCAGCAATCCCATTACTGGGTATATATCCAAACGATTATAAATCGTTCTACTATAAGGACACATGCACACGAATGTTCACTGCAGCACTGTTTACAATAGCAAAGACCTGGAACCAACCCAAATGCCCATCGATGATAGACAGGACAGGGAAAATGTGGCACATATACGGCATGGAATATTATGCAGCCATCAACTACAAAGGTTCGTGTCCTTTGTAGGGACATGGATGAACCTGGAAACCATCATTCTCAGCAAACTGACACAAGAACAGAAAATCAAACACTGCATGTTCTCACTCACAGGTGGGTGTTGAACGATGAGAACACATGGACACAGGGAGGAGAGCACTACACACTGGGGTCAGTTGGGGGGAAATGGGGGAGGGCCGGGGGGGTGAGGAGTTGGGGAGAGATAGCATGGGGAGAAATGCCAGATATAGGTGAAGGGGAGGAAGGCATCAAATCACACTGCCACGTGTGTACCTATGCAACTATCTTGCATGTTCTTCACATGTACCCCAAAACCTAAAATGCAATAAAAATAAAAAAACACTAGGTGAAAATCTATATGTGCATGACTTTATTTTTTGTTTAATTTTTTAAATTGCATTTATATTTTGGGGTACATGTGAAGAACATGCAAGATTGTTGCATAGATACACATGTGGCAGCGTGATTTGCTGCCTTCCTCCCCTTCACCTATATCTGGCATTTCTCCCCATGCTATCTCTCCCCAACTCCTCACCCCCCACTGTCCCTCCCCCATTCCCCCCCAACTGACCCCAGTGTGTGATGCTCCCCTCCCTGTGTCCATGTGTTCTCATTGTTCAACACCCACCTATGAGTGAGAACCGATTCCTCAAAGACCTAGAAATAAAAATTCCAAGGACCTAGCAATCCCATTACTGGGTATATATCCAAATGATTATAAATCGTTCTACTATAAGGACACGTACACACGAATGTTCATTGCAGCACAGTTTACAACAGCAAAGACCTGGAACCAACCAAAATGCCCATCGATGACAGACTGGACAGGGAAAATGTGGCACATATACAACATGAAATATTATGCAGCCATCAAAAACGATGCATTCGTGTCCTTTGTAGGGACATGGATGAACCTGGAAACCATCATTCTCAGCACACTGACACAAGAGCAGAAAAGCATGACTTTATTTTAAGATCCCTTTACTTTACTTGTTTCACCAGCTATTAAGCCGTCTTTCAATCCAGGAAAGTAGCAGACATCGGTTTGCTTTCGGAGGCTAGGGCTGCCAAATATCTGATGCCCAGGTAAATTTGAAGTTCAGATAAATGATAAATAAGTTTCATTTAAAGTATGTTTCAAGGATTGCAAGGCACTGCACCTTGAACTATCTTTCTTGCAATGTCAAATTTCGACTTGAGGGGACCTTTTATTTGAGGACAAATAGAAATCCTTGAACAAACAGATCACATGCCAACCCTAACAAAACCACTGGACTCTTACCTTTGAGTAGAGTCCAAGACAAACCAGCATGCCTAACCCTTAGTCTGGTTAATAAAGCAGATTCAAGTCTTCTCAGAGGGCCCTGGGTATTGCCTCAAAGGGACTTGCAAACATGAAAAGGAAGGTGATTCAAGACCCTAATCAGAAGCTTCTGGCAGGAGAGACCCTGGCAGCGGCCTTACCTGCTGAAACTCTGAAGGGCAGGGTGTGAGCCCACTGTGGGAATACTCCATCCCAAGGGCCCTGGCCAGCAGGCTTCAGGGTCGGCTTCCCTCACATCTGCACTCCCTTTGCTGCAGGACTCAGCTCTCCATGCCCCTGGCTCTCTTCTGCAGTGGTCCTGCTCTCAGCTGCCACAGGAGGGCGCGGGAGAACGGGCCTGAGGTACGAGACAGGAGCTCCTCTACAGGTCCTCCCAGGCACCACCCCTTCCGGGAGGAAGGCTTGGGAGTCCCCTAAGACAGATCATTAGTCAGTTCTCTCTACCTGTGACTCAGGAAGACCAGCTCCCCGACTGCCTTCTGTGCTAGGGATCTGAGTTTTCACTTCCTTGTTGAGTGGGACCTGAGTTTTGAGGTCTTGTGCGCCTCTTCATCTGGTCCCTTTCCTTCCAAGAACCCAGACAGGAAGGCATGGGGTGGGCCCTAGCCCTGCTTCTAGCTTTCCTGCCTCCTGGTGTGTGTGCTGCCTATGGAGAGGCTCATGGGTTTTGTTTTGTTTTCTTCTTTAGCAAGGAGTGCCATACTAAGGAATCCCTCATTATGTTTTGTGTTGTTCCAATTGCAGCCAATCCGATATCTTCCAACTTGGAAGGGAGAATGAAGACAGTCACTGGGACAACAGGGTCATCTGCTGTAATCACCTGTGATCTTCCTGGAGAAAATACCAGACACATCCACTGGTACCTCCACCAGGAGGGGAAGGCCCCACAGCGTCTTCTGTACTGTGACACCTACAACTCCAGGGTTATGTTGGATTCAGGTATCAGTCCAGGAAAGATGGATAGCTATGCAATCATGAGGAGCTCGAAATTGATAGTGCAAAATATAAATGAAAATGATTCTGGGGTCTATTATTGTGCCACCTGGGACACGCACAGTGATTCAGATCTGCCTACACCACAGTGAAAACCTGCCTTGTGGCTGCTTGTGGTACACAACATAGAGCTGCCCCCTCTCATTGCCTGCCACCAAATTTACTGTAATCTGTACAAAGAGAAACACAGCTTTACTCCTGACTTCCCCCTAATATCACACTCCCTGGCAGCAGCTGCACCTGTTCCCCACCCGTCCCCCAGGACTTTCCTGAAGACCAAGCTGCCATCTCCAGGCCTCAGCTAAGCAGCCTGCCTGAGAGCAAGGTTCTCTCAGCTCTCCTAGGACACAGGGAATGTCCACTCACTCTGCTTCCTAGGACACACATGTACACTTAGGGTGTACTTTGGACAGCAAATGGGAAGGGTATTTATACTCATCATGTATCCAATCATGATCCAGGGATCGCAGCTGAGATTGGTGCTTATTCCTTATGTTTATAACAACAGAAGCAATACTGTAATTCCCAATCACTAGCCTAGATATGCAGTTGCACATTCTCTCCCTCTGCCCTGACGTCTTCTCTCTCTCCTTTCTTACTTCCTCGCTTGCTTTTATTATTTCTCTCTCCCTCCCTCCTTCCTCCTTTCCTTCCTGCCTCGTTCCCTTCCTTCCTTCCATCGATTCTCCTTCCTTTTTTTCCTTCTTTCCTTCCTTTTTTGTTTTTTTGGGGTGGGAGTACATAATCAGAATACTTTTTCCACAAAATCACTGAAATATTTTTTCTCTATTTGTTCATGCCAACATTGATATGGCTAGTGTAATTGTTCAGTTTCATTTTTATATTTTAGGTATTTGAAGTATTATGTTGTTTCATACTTGGCTTGTATACATAAAACGGTTACATGGAACTGAAGTCAAAATTTTAAAAGATGATGCATTTGAAGCTTTTAGCTTCCATGCTAGATTTCTCCTTCCTTTTCTCCCTGACCCTATAGGTAAAAATACTTTCATCAGTTCACTTGAACTTTTTCACTTTGTCATAGTGCTGTATGTATTGTTTCTTTTTCAATGCCATATTTATATTTTCATTCTTATATTGGGTTTTTATACATTTTAAACAATCTTTTATTTTCCTGTGTCTGGATTGTTTTCCTTCTAAAGGTGCACATACTTCCTAAGTTTGCATAAAGAAGTCCTTATCAACTATTTGAATGTTTTTATGCATTGATTACTTAATGATGGCATGATTGATCTATCAGGATTTTTATACAATAATTACTACATTGATAATATGAATACTGGCCAGGCCTGGTGGCTTATGCCTGGAATTCCACCATTGCGGTAGTCGAGTATTAAGATTACTTGAGGCCAGGAGATTGAGACCAGCTTAGCCAAAGTGGTGAAACCCCGTCTCTACTAAAAGTAAAAAGAATTAGCCAGCTGTAGTGACACATACATGTAATCCCATCCATTTTGGATGCTGAGGCAGGAGAATCTGTTGAGCCTGGAAGGTGGACGTGTCAGTGAGTTAACATCACATTACTGCACTCCAGCTTGGGCAACGGAGTAAGACTATGTCTCAAAAACCTTAAGAATACTACTACTGATGGTAAATATGAGTACTGACATTCTGGTAATTAATGAGCTAAGCACATGATATGCATATTTTATTTAATCTACATAGAAACTTCATTCAGGAATGAAAGTACCATTGAATGTCATACAGAAATTCAGGGTTAACTGACGTTCCCTAAGTCATATACTATAATATGATAATGATTGCAATGCAAGCTCTGTGGTTTCAAAAATGAGATTTGTTAATTCAATTAGTATTCCCTCATCTCTAGCAGTCCTAGCATTATTACACACCTTCAAAGGTCATTTAGAGTTCTTCTTCTGTGAATTGTCTTGTCATACTCTGCCTATTCTTCTTTGGGGGATTCATATTTTCTTATTGGTTCATAACAACTAATACAAACCATTTTAAAGACACTGACCCTTTATCAAATGTGTTGACAATATTTTTCCTCATTGGTTATTATTTGTATTTGGCACCTTTTGTTGAATTGAACTTTCAGACAATAAAACAATACAAGCCATCAATTTTAATATGGTCTCTATTTTGATGTCAAGCTTAGAGAGGCCAGTCTCACCTAGAATTCTGTGCATTTCATCATTCTTTAAGTCTAATGATTTTTTAATTTACAACTGCATCACTGTAACTGGTAAGATAGAAATTCAAGAATGTTAGTTTCCACATGGAAGTCAATACCCAAAAGAGGACTTATTAAATAATTGACTATTTCCTTGTAGATATTAACGTATCATTTTATCACGTGGTAAAATATTACATACACATGGCTCTCTTCCTGCATTTTCCACTGTGTTCTATGAACCTTTTCACTGTAGTTCCAGCACTGCCCCCTCTTCAGCACTGTAGCTTTAGAGTTCTTTTCACATTCTGATAAAGTTTCTCTCATCATATTTTTGTTTTAAGAATTTTCTGTGCATTCTAGCGTGATTTCAGTTCTCTCCCTTCTCATTTATAAACCATGACACTCTGTCCAGAAAGGTTTTGTCAAGCTCCAAGGCAGGCACGCTTCCCTCCTCTACAAGGTCTCTGAGAACTCAGCATTGAGCTGCTCCTGCGGCAGCCTAATGTCCTGCACGTGTGGCCCAGAGGCAGATGGACACCACCTGGAGCCGCGTGCCTTTCCCATTCCCAGCTGGGATGACAGCAGTAACATGAATTCTCTGAGATAGGCCAACACAACAAACGAGAGGGACACAGTTCTGCATCTTATTCTGCATATTTTAAACATGTGTCTAAACATATTTGTTACAGAGGAGGTGAAAATCTGTGTGCACTACTGGATTTTCACGATTGTTTTACTGGACTCGTTTTGTTGCCTAGATCTCCATCTGAGAAACCAGGTGCCCTGCAGATAGCAGTCTGAGCTCTGAGGGTAGGGCTGCCAAATAAAGCATCGAGTACCCCGGAAATGTGGAAGTTCAGATAAATACCAAGTTTTTAGTTTAAGTATGTTCCAAATATTGCACGACACGTCATCCTGTACTACTTAAAAAAAACAAAAAACTCACATTCGTACTTCAATGCATAAAAATCCTCTAATACTATAAAGAGACCACACCCACAAGGTCCCATGCACCCCCCTCTCCAACCCTCCGTCCGCACACCCATTTAATTTAGAGAAGAGTCCAAGACCCACCAACATACCTCACCCTCAGTCCTGTTAATAAAGCAGAGTAGCCTTGGGTGCTGCATCCTGTTTCCTTGCAGATTCCGAAAAGAAGGTGGTTCAGGTCCCTAATCAGAAGCTTCCTGGCAGAATGAGTCCTTGGCAGCGGCCTTACCTGCCAAAAAGCAATAGTGCAGGGTGTGAGCCTGCTGTGCACTGCCCCCTCCAAGGGCTGGGCCTGCTAACTCCAGAACTCGCTTCCCCAAGGTCTGCACTCCCTCCACTGCAGGCCTGAGCTCTCCTTTCCTGGCTCTCTTCTGCAGAGGACCTGCTCTCAGCTGCCACAGGAGGGCGCTGGAGAACGGGCCTGAACAGAGAGGCAGGAGCTCCTCTGCAGGTCCTCCCAGGCACCACCCCTTCTGGGAGGAAGGCTTGGGAGTCCCCTAAGACACATCCTCAGTCACTTCCCTCTGCTTGTGGCTCAGGAAGACCTGCTCCCCTCACTGTGCTAGGGATCACTTCCCTGGCCCCTTTCCTTCCAAGGCCCCAGATAGGAAGGCATGGGTGGGCACTAGCCCTGCTTCTAGCTTTCCTGCCTCCTGGTGAGTGTGCTGCCTACAGAGAGGCTCACAGGTTTTGTTTTCTTCTTTTGCAAGGAATGCCATACTAAGGAATGCCTCATTATATTTTCCGTTGTTCCCATCGCAGCCAGTCAGATATCTTCCAACTTGGAAGGGAGAATGAAGTCAGTCACTGGGACAACTGGGTCATCTGCTGTAATCACTTGTGATCTTCCTGGAGAAAATACCTTATACATCCACTGGTACCTCCACCAGGAGGGGAAGGCCCCACAGCATCTTCTGTACTGTGACACCTACAACGCCAGGGTTATGTTGGATTCAGGAGTCAGTCCAGGGAAGTTGGATAGCTATGCAATCATGAGGAGCTCGAAATTGATAGTGCAAAATCTAAATGAAAATGATTCTAGGGTCTACTACTTTGCCACCTGGGACAGGCACAGTGGTTCAGACCTGCCTACACCACACTGAAATCTGCCTTGTGGCTGCTTAGGTGCCCCTCTCATTTCCTGGAACTGAATTTACTGTATTCTATACAAAGAGAAACACTTTTTACTCCTGATCTCCCCCTAATATCACACTTCCCTGGCAGCAGCTGCACCTGTTCCCCACCCCTCCCCCAGGACTTTCCTGAAGACCAAGATGCCACCTCCAGGCCTCAGCTAAGCAGCCTGCCTGAGAGCAAGGTTCTTTCAGCTCTCCTAGGACACGGGGGAGGCCCACTCAGTCTGCTTCCTAGGACACACAGCTACACCTAAGGTCCAGCTCTGAAGCGAGATACTCTGGACAGCAAACGGGAAGGGTATTTGTACTCATCATGTATCCAATCATGATCCAGGGTCGCAGCTGAGTCTCGTGCTTATTCCTTGTGTTTATAACAATAGAAGCAATACTGTAATTCCCACTCAATCACTAGCCTAGATATGCAGTTGCTCATTCTCTCCCTCTACCCTGCCTTTTTCTCTCTCTGCTTCCTTACTTCCTTGCTTTTATGTTTCTCTCCCTCCCCACTTCCTCCTTTCCTTCCGTGCTTTTCTCTTTCTTTTTTGGGGGGGTGTGTACATAATTACAATACTTCTTCCACAAAGTCATTGAAATAATTTTTCTCTATTTCTTCATGCCAACATTGATATAGCTAGTGTAACTGTTCAGTTTTCATTTTTATATTTTGGGTATTTGCTGTATTATTCTGTTCTAAACAGTTACATGAAACTGAAGTCAAAATTGTAAAACGAGATGCATTTGAAGCTTTAGCTTCCATTCTAGATTTCTCATTCCTCTTTTCTCCCTGACCCTATAGGTAAAAATACTTTTATAGTTTACTTCAACTTTTTCACTTTGTCATAGTGCCATATGTATTGTTTCTTTTTCAATGCCATATTTATATTTTCATTCTCATATTGGGTTTTTATACATTTAAAGAATCTTTTATTTACCTGTCTCTGGATTTTGTGTTTCTAAAGGTGCACATACTTCCTAAGTTGCATAAAGAAGTCCATAGCATTTATTTGAATGTTTTTATGCATTG